GTAGTAGTAGTAGTAGTAGCAGCAGCAGCAGCAGCAGCATTATTGCAAAATACTCGTTCGTATGTCACGTTTCCTTTCTGTTCATATTTGTAACTGACTTACCTGTAGGAATATTTTAATGATACATCAGTCATGGATCAATAGGTTCAGGGAGGGGAGCATACACAGAGAGCAATGTGATCTCATAACCCTGTTTTAAAGGAAAAAAGTTGTGACACAAGCTGATAAAATATTCTTGGGCTATCAGCCATGTCTCGTGATAGGGGGGGGGATGTTCCGTGTGACATCGGTGATATTTATCCAACTGACACGGCTGAAAGCCAGAGCAGATTTCATTCACTGCAGCTGCCATGGAAGCTTCTCAGCTCTTGTGTTTAACGTGAGGTTTACACTGTAGTTAAAAAGGTAAAGCAGGGTAATTTTATTTCAGATGTACACAGTATTTGTTACATGCCACAAGAAATTGAAAATGTGACTAGCCATACATGGATAGATAGCTTATAGCATTTTTTGTAATGTTATAAAAAACTGGCACTTTTAGTATAATATCACTGTTAAGAGACAAGTTATGGCTGCCATAGGAATTCTGTGTTCCAGGCAGTGATGTGATACAATGGCAAGCGAGCTCTGTATGCAGGACACCACTGGAGGTTAAGCAACAAAGATTTAAATATGGATTCCAATTTCACAATGTGGGATATTTCATTGGGAAGCGTATGTCTTCTCCTGGTGACAGGGCTTGTACAAGGGCATGCTAAAAGTAATGACTCCAAATTTCTTTTCCATAACAGCATTTTCATTGAAATATAAATGGCTACCTTCCTTGAACTTTTTTCTTTATTGCTAGTGGGGTGGGACTAAGTCCCTCGTACTGCGGCCACTTCTGGCCTATTGTACCAGCCACCGATGATAGGCGAGGGTGATTGTGGAGCAATTGGTGGAATGAAGATTGGCAGGGAAAACCAAAGTACTCAGAGAAAACCTGCTCCAGCGCCACTTTGTCGGCCACAAATCCCACTTGACCAGATCCAGGATCGAACCCGGGCCACCGCTGTGGGAAGCCAGCGACTAACTGCTTGAGCTATGCCGCGGCCTTCCTTGAACTTTGTTCCCTGTTTTATACAATTACTTCAAACAACCACTTCTGCAGTCCAGCCACAGCTTACATATTTCTTGCACAGGTATTCATCAATTAGTGCATTAGTTGTATTCCCAAAAGGAGTCACAGGGGGTGCAATGACATAAATGATATCAGGTACGCTGAACTTTCTCTTCTCCCCTTGCATTCCTCCTCCATTCCTGCACAGCATCCTAATCCCCCCTTCTTCTGACCTCTCTTGATGGGCCAGCAATTACTTCATACTAAAGCAAGTGTTACAGGTCTAAATTAATTGACTGCATTAAAATGAAACATGTTTCCAACTTGCATATACCAAGGAGTACCTGTACTTCTGTAAGACTGGCAGGACAGAACTACATTTTCACCACTGTCTCATGGAGGCATTACTTTTCAGCATACCCTTCCAGATGAATGTTGCTAATACCAAAGCCCACCAGTGGACACATCATGATCCAAGTGGATGCATTCCAGCATGTGCCAACAAAAATATTGTACGTATTTGTGTTCAATTCTTTATTGGAGTCCATCGTAACAGAACAACATAACGGCCAAGCTTAAAATTACCCAGCTATATGTTTCGGCTTTTTAAAGCCATCATCAGGCAAAACACATGATTACTATATTCAGACACAATTAGTAATCATGTGCTTTGCCTGGCGATGGCTTTAAAAAGCTGAAACATGTAGCTAGGTAATTTTAACCTCAACCGTTATGTCGTTGTGTTACGACAGACTCCAATAAAGAATTGTATACAATAACACAACAGGATGCACGGAAATGAAAAATATTTGTGTTCTCCCATCTCAGCTACAAGACCTTGAGGTAACTTTCCTGACAAACCTGCAAAGCTGTATAATCAAGTTCCTTGGTGGGGACGTTGTGTGCTATAACACTGTGTTGTAGTCTGGCAGGCAGATACCAGTGTACTGGTGAAACACACCACGCTGCAGTCTGATAGGTGGATACTAACGTTTTGGTGGAATGTGTGCCTCCATCTTTAGGACGACTCCAGATATCAGACATTTAGATTGCGTAGGTACAGATGTTTGAAGTCACAATATGAAATCAGGTCATCCACAAGCAGCAGTTACATTTGGCTGATGATACGGGATATGATACTGTGTACACTGGTAGAAGTTTAATGACATTTCAGAGGAACACAATGCCTTCAGCTTCAATTTTCCATCCTGAAGATGGAGAAAATATGAAGGCAAAACGAAAAGTCTTTGCCCCCATTCTTTTCAGCCACAATAATACACATACAGGGAAATCAAAATACAGGCAGTGTTCTAAGCACCTTTGACTATTTTTCCACATAGTCACCACCCTGGTTCAGGCATTTGCCCCATTGCACCACTAGTTTGGAGATGCCGCTGTTGTACAATTCGGCCGGTTGAGAGCGGAACCACTGCTAGACAGCGGTTTTCATGTTGTCATCAGAAATGAACCTCTGGCTTACCAGGAACTTCTTCAGTGGGCCGAACAAGTGATAATCACTGGGGGCGAGGTCTGGACTATACAGTGCATGATCAATAATTTCCCATCCAAATGACTGCAGTCACGCCCAGGGATTCTCATGGACGTTGTGGTCCTCCTCCATGACAGTGCCAGGCCTCATGTGGCAAACAGGACCGCCACCTGACTGCAGTCACTCAGATGGGAGATTATGGAGCATGCACCGTATAGTCCAGACCTCGCCCACAGTGATTGCCACATTTTCGGTCCACTGAAGAAGTTCCTGGCAGGCCAGAGGTTCATTTCCGAAGATGACGAGAAAACTGCTATCTGGCAGTGGTTCCACGCTCAACTGGCCAAATTCTACAAGAGCGGCATCTCCAAACTAGTGGTGCAATGGGGCAAATGCCTGAACTGGGGTGGTGACTATGTGGAAAAATAGTCAAAGGTACTTAGAACACTGCCTGTATTTTGATTTCCCTGTATGTGTATTATTGTGGCTGAAAAAATATAGGGGCAAAGACTTTTCGATTTGCCCTTGTATATGTGTCTGCAATGTTGGTTAAAACAAATTACAGAGCATTACATTTCAGAAGATTTGTCCTCAATAATATTGCAGAAAAGTTAAGATGTGATAGAATGCATGTAGTAGAACTCTACCCTTATGAAGGTGGCAGTACGTTCCTCCAAAATGTTGGCGGACTCCTACCCACCTATACAGCTTCACTTCCAACTTCCTCATGATCACTGCCATGAATATCTCAAATCTTGCACGTAACACTGGTGGTTGTAGATGACTGTACTTCCATTTATGAACAAGAAATACTGACACACTACAACCATACAGTAATTGTGCTGTACTGATTAAACTGACCTGTGATCAGTGCAGATGAATTACATTACACAATAAAATCAATTCTCAGAGCGTTGTTTGAACAAGTCTTCATCACAGTAGTGAGTCTATTAAGAAATCTGTACAAATTAATAAGAAATGGCAAGTCTACCATTGCAACCATTTCAAGCTATCGGCCTGATACTTCAGTGGCCCTGCCTGGGCTCCAACTGCACGTGGCCATCTCAAGTTTACAGTGCATATGAACATATCATGAAATTTAAGGATTTTTATATCATTTTTCCTAAAGATGATATACATTTAAATACTACACAAAGTAAAACTATTTTATTGTATCTTTCTCAACAGGATACTGACCAATAAAGAAACAAAATCTTCAGTTTCTATTGATAGGTGTGCCATACCTTTTGTTTGAAAACCATTTTCTGAAAAATTAATTACCTATGGTAAGGACAGATAGTAATAACCATCAATTACCATAAGCAGACTGCTCTGAGTGAGAATGTTACAAACTAAAATCAACTCCACACATAATTCCAACCTTGCAAGTAACTGCACTAACTGAAACATATTCTGCNAACAGAATCAGAAGATGTACAGTCTACTGCAAATCATTGTAAAGCACCACTGATATATCACTGAAACATTTGTAATGAGTTATAAAAGTAACTTGGTTCATCCTGGTCCGTCACACTAGTAATTGTATGTAAGGGTTTTAACTACTGTCCAGTGTGATTGATAAAAGTTGTTTTTAATTTTTCATCCTTTATATGTTTCGGCCAAAACGACCATCTTCAGAAGGACAGTACCAACACGTATGGAAACTACTGTTACATGTCATACATATATATGTTATATCATTTAACTTATTAAGATGTACAGTGTTTTGTTAAAACATCTAAAAGTATTAAAAAAGTGTAATGACAAGAAACCAAATTGGTTCTAGTTTAAAACAAATACTGAACATTATTTTGTAAACAGACTAACTGTAATAATTTTTAGATGTTTTAACAAATCAATGTACATCTTAATTAGTTAAAATACATAACATATATATTGTTTATTGTTATTAAAATGTATGTTATTATATGTATGACATGTAACAGTAGTTTCCATACGTGTGGATAATATCCTTCTGAAGATGGTTTTGACCGAAACATGTAAAGGATGAAAAATTAAAAACAACTTTTATCAATCACACTTCACAGTGGTTAAAAACCTTGTATACATTTACTAGTGCGACGGACCAGGATGACCCAAGTTACTTTTATAACCCATTACAAATGTTTCAGTGATATATCAGTGGAGCTTTACAATGATTTGCAGTAGACTGTACATCTTCTGATTCTGTTGCTTGTATAATTTTACAGCTTTTCATACTGGCCTACACCTGAACAAGGGCTTCCTTCTTCCCTTGGAGGATACAATTTTGCTACTGCAATCAAGAAAGGCCAAATATAATTACTTCATGTCTGATTTAGCTTAGAGGCTGTTCATCTGCCTCAAGTCCTATAAGCAAGTAACTAATCACTAGAAATTGTACTTTTCAGCTTACAGGTGCCAACAGGTTACCTAAGGAAGCAGGAGAACCACTGTACTCATCTGAATGAGACATCAACTCTGTGGTCTTCCTTCCGGCACACATAGGCACTGTTGGCAGCTGCAAGCTGTGTCTTATTTAAAAATAGAGACGATATTCCAGACAGTAAGAAACAATAAAAACATAAGTCCACGCCAAAGTTGAGAGTTGGTGCCAGCATATTTCATGAAGAATTTGCAGTTTGGTTTTTGAGATGGTTGCCCTGAAAAAGAAAGAAATAAAGAAAATGTAGTAATGCTCATGTTAAACTTGAAGATCTCACAAAAACCTCACATGGTGGTTTTCTTTTTGAAAATGAAATTTCATATTCTGCATCAAAAACAGAAATTTTTACTAAAGCTTCACAGTACCAAGGAGGAAAGTCTTATTAATCAATCCATCATTAAAATGACACTTTATAGTGTACAGTCTACAAATTATAACAAGACATGTGACATGCTCAGAGAAAAACAAATATTTACTTTGCAGCAGTATAATCACCATATGACATTATCGACATTACTATATGGCTTCCCATCTACTCAGCCTTTACGTTAAAGCTATGAATTACTGTCATTTGCAGTGCAAGAGGGACACACAACATAACAACCCACCACTTCATATATACATGCGCATAGAAGGGACCGCGTAGTGATGACCAGGGCCCAGATTTTGATGACATGTCATCTTTTTTTCCTTGTAGCCTATGTGATGCTCATATAAATCTCGGATATGAGCTGCTGGTTACAGAAATGTAAATTTTATAGGTAAGGTTTTGTCATTTTTTTGACATTTTTAGGTTCAAGGCCATTTTTTCATTTTTGGCCATTTTAGGGAATTTTTCTTCATATGTTTTCTGAAATGCGAATAACATGGAAGCAAAGTGTACTTTCTTTTCTCCTATAGGTCATTTTTCTGAATTTTTTCGGTCATTTTTTAGATATTTTCAGGTCATCAAAATCTAGGCCCTGCATATTACATTTTTGGGTCATATTTTCGGTCATTTTTTCAATATTTTCAGGTCATCAAAATCCGGGCCCAGGTGATGACCAACAACCACAATATGGAAGCACAGCATTTTCCTCATTTATAATTTTAAAACACCTGATAATGACCTTATAGGTCAAAACATGTAGTGAGTAACTTTTAGGAAGTTTTACAGAAGGACATGCCGCACGTGAGACTGTGAAACAATTTGGTACTAAATGAAGTGCAGCAGGGTGCTACAATACACTAAAGTAAAGTAAAGGTATCCCTGTTTCAGGCCGTGGAGGCCCATAGGGTTGTGAGATGTTGAGGTTCCCACATTTTCTAGAAAATCGGCTCACAGATGGCGGCAAGGTTGTCAGCCCTATGCGCCGGCCACCCTTTACCCCCAAGAATATTCCTGGTACTCATTTCTATTAGAGGCTGAGTCAACTTCAGGGCCATAGTGCAGCTGGAAGGATCAGGTCAATTGAAAAATCTAATGACTTAATCGGGACCTGAACCCATTACCTTCTGGCTTGTATTAGAAATGAGAGCTCATGACCAGATCTGGACTGATACTCACTCCCTCCTGTTCAGTTTTCTTCACTCGTTTCTCCACTTTATTTTTGCCAGGTCCTTCTCCATGAAATTCACGAGAGAGGTATCTGAAATGAGAAAGAGAGACAACATTAAAGTCACTGTATTTTAGGATCTTACAGAATGTGGCCATGTTTCCAAGTAACACGTAAAATCCTTTCATCCTGAAGTTTTGGCCAGAAAAAAGGGTATGATCCATACGAAGGGGGACCCAAAAATAACCGGAACCGACCTGTTGCGCGCGCATGCTTTGTAGTTACGAGTTCTGCTGCTAGGTGGTGTTAGCTGGGGGTCTCCCGCGACTGTTAGTGAGCTGGCGTCAGTCTGAGTTAAGTGGTTTGTCTGTGGTGCTCTGTTGTGTGCGTTCCTGTTTCAACCCTTTGGCGATTAGTGAGATGGCCGACCAGAAGGAACAAAGAGTGTGCGTGAAATTT